ATTACTAAATTGGATACTTTCACCGTAACATGTAACATTACGGTAAACGAGATCATACGACAGTCTGTGTTAATCTGTGGCACTATAGTGTGTATGCGTAAAGAAAACTTTGAAAACGAAGTTCGTGTGAACAACGAAATTAGTGAGATAGTCGATTAACTCTTTTTTTCCCAAGCAATCCCATTACCATTTGTCCGATTACACGCCACCGTATTTTCTTACATACAATCTATAATATAATCGAAAGAAGAGCCCAACGGCGAACAGAAAACAGAAAAGGAGGGGCGGGGGGGAAAAAATAAAAAATAAAAAAGAGAGAAAAGAAAGGATATACAATGCTTAAGAGCCGACCTGATGATTGAAAGAAGGGGAACAGATAGCTCGCGGATCATGGCATGCACTTTAGGGTCAGTAGAATTAAATCTAACACGCAACGGATCGAGACTTTGTACACGATGAATACTCATGCTAACGCGTTCAGAAATTATTATTGCATATTGTCCGCATAGATCACAGGCATTCGCGCAAAGTTCTTTTTTTTTTTTATCTTCTTTCTCTTTTGTCCTATTATACGGCGAAAACTCTGTAGAAAACTCGTTCTCGTGTTTTCGAAACTACTTGACAGTAATAATATATTTTAATGAGGTACGTGTAAGTATGTGATAGTACTGTGTTTCAAGTCTATCAGTTACAGAGAAATTCGTGTATGTTATTCGATGGACTGGGAAGATGCGGGTGTATAAAAACATAAACTGTGCTCATAAGTAAGACATCGGAGGGACAGAACGAATGAATGAAAAATACACATCTCCATGAAATGTCACATTTCATAAGGAAATGCGGATTTCTATCGTCGTTCTGTTTCAAGTGCAACGAGTAAATGATTAAATAAAATGACTTGGCTAAACACAACCATGTAGTAGAAACCGAGAGACAATTATAGTGCAGCGTGTCTTCAAAGGTCTAACATATACTTTTACTGACTTTAAATAATGAATTGAACAAATCAGTTTACTTAAAAAAAAAAAAAAAAAAAAAAAA